AAAATATACAAAATTAGATAAAATTAATGTTTTGAATTAAAATAAATATATAAATTTAGATAAAATTTTATTGTTTATAAACTTTTATCTAAATTAATTGGATATTAGTTTAAATTTTTATTTAGTTTCTTTTTTAAACTATACATAATAACTTTATATATAATTAGAAAATTTTAGTTTCAGAATTTTTATTAGAAAACTCAGTTTTTCTACATTTTAAAAGGACAAGATTTTAAAGGAGTTAATGAAAAAAAAATTTGCTAAACATTTACTATTTAGTATCAAGTATTTAATTGTTGAAAAAAATGTTTAGTCTTGTGATATCAGACTCATTGGATTTATTCAAGAATTTTCATTTTACACAACACTGTATATTTCTTTTCTTTTTTTTTTAATTTAATTCTTTATTTAAATTGCTTTTTTTTAACTTTTCTCTTTTAAATTTAGAAGTTACCATTCAGATTCTTTTCAGTAACAAAAAATTTGGTAAGCAATCATTTCAAAATACCTTTTATGCCAAGCTATGGCATATTTACTGTATTTAGTTTTTTGTATATAATGAATCTTTAGTAGACAGTGTTAGAGATTTTACACTAGTCACACTTTTGCATGTGTCATGTGCCATTTTGTCATGTGACATAATATGTTAAATTTTTTGATCGTGGTAATGTCAAACTAAGTGTCATAATTTGACACTTTTTAATATTTATTTAACATTTAAAAAAATTTCAGTTTGATATTATATGCAACCAGTTTGTTTCTAATAATTGCAGTGTATACTTATTTTTTTGTGGTTTTTAGTGCAGCAACTCAGAAGATGAAGTTTTATTCGAAATCCACAATCGAACTGGTTTGATAACTTTGAACAGACCAAAGGCTTTAAATGCTTTAAATTTAAATATGGTTCGAACTATACATCCAGTCATTAAGGTATTGAAAGATGTAGAATAAACTCTCTATATGTGACTATTATTGAACATGCACACTAGAATTTTAAATATTTTTGTTCATATTTTTTTTGGTTATATTATTTTAGAGTCAGTATTGAAAGAATATTTATTTTATTACAAAGTTTGAATTTTTAATTTAAAAATAATTGCTTTTTTTTTTTTAAGAAAACTTGTTTTCATACACATCTTGTTATAATGAATTTAAAAATAGCTATCCAAGGGTAGCAGGAATCGATAGCAGAAGGGTAGCAGGAATAGAACTTTTTACTATCCTGAGATAGCAAGAGTTATTCTTAGTGTTCCTGGGATAGTACATTTAAATAAAATTACAAGCAATTAATTTTTTTTTTTTTACTTTATTTGTAAAATTATTTTTGCGATTAAAGTTATTATTATTTTCTATATTAAAAATCTGATTATTTTCATAAATTGTATTAACTACAGCTAAAGCAACATGAAAATCCATCAATAGCAGCAAATTGAGCCAATCATTCTTCTACTGAAACTTTTATAATCAATTGTAGATTGAACAAAATGTTTTTTTATTTGGCAGTTCTTCTTCACAATTTTTATTTAAATTAATATTGTGGATTTTCTCTAAATATTTTTTCAACCCAATTGTAGATTATTGTATAATATTAACTTTGGACAGACATTTTTATAATATTTATTAAAATTTTTTTCAGTGATAAATTTCAACAAGCATACAATAACATTAAGTGATCTTCTGATGGTCCAGAAAAGAAAAAATTAAAGTTTTGGTGGAAAAGTTAAGCAATGTGTTATTAAAATCCTTGGTTACCGTAAAAAAATCCTGGGATCATGGAAAAAATTTCCAGGGAATTATGGTTTATTATTTTTCTTAAGAATTACCTGGGATCAATCCCTAGCTGTCATATTTTATATCTTCATAGCTACAACAACTTGTTAATCAACCTACCGTCTTAAATAAATACCGTATTAAATAGTTTTATTTTTTGTACTCACTGATTTGTGAAAGTCTTGTTCAAGTGTCTTTTATTAAATCTATATAGACAATTTTTATTAAAACTATATAGACAAACTTTGCATCTTGTAAAGTTTTAAAAATTCAAAGGTTTAAAAAATCTAGTATTATATTAAGAAATTTATTTAGGATGTGTTGTTTCATATAATAATATACTAGAATTTATCATGTTTTTACATCATGCATTTTTTGCCTAATAATTGATAACTTTGGACAGACTAATAATTGCCTAATAATTGATATTTGTTTTAAAACTTGAATTATGCATCAAATTAATTTGTTTAGAAAGAATTTTAAGTGAATCACAGTTGAATTTATTCAAGCGCAAATAAGAGTGTGTGTACAGAAAATATTTGTTTTATTCTAGGAGTGGGAAAGCAATCCATTAATTGAAGCGATTGTTATGAAAGGTGCTGGTAGCAAAGCATTTTGTGCTGGAGGAGATGTCAGAGGTATTGTTTTATTGTTAAGGGTATACAAAAATGGTTTTTAAAGAAAAAAAAAAGTTTTATGAACATTTTGATTGTGCCACTTTATGACACAGTAATCAAAAAAGTTTTTTATTTATTTGTTCACAACTTCTGAACTGAACATTGGGTTAATTGGGGGCTTTTAGGAAATCTTTTAAAGAAGTGTTTTAATTAAAACAAAAAATAGGTATATATAATAGGTATAACAACATAATTAAATCTTTGTTATAACAAAAAGTTTAGTCATGATTTTTTTATAGACCCAAAGTACAAGAAAACATAAAAATATGTAATTATGTTTTTTTGTAATTAAAGATAATATAAGCATATTAATAGTAACAAAAATTTAAGAATAGAAGTATTAAAATGCATTAAGTTAATTATAGGTTAATATTTTAAAATATGTCATTTATAGATATGTTATTAATGCTTTTTTTTAATGTAAATATCTTTCTGAAAAAAAATGCCCTTTTTCTGTTAATTGGGTAAAGTTGACAATTTGAGTGTTTTATGTTGAAAGTCAAGTCCTTATTGATCTTAATATTTCATTGTTTTCTATTAATCCTGATTTAATAAAGTGTACCATACTACTTTCTTCATTTAATGTAAGTTTCTATGAATGAAAAAGTAATTTGATGATGTTATACTGATTCATGGTCCATGTAAGGGTCTGCATCACATATTTATACACATTACATTTATACATAGAAAAATGTCTAGTTTTGATCTAGTACAATATCGAGAAGGAAAAAATTTCCATACCAATTAACTGATGCAGCTTTAAAAAAAAAACTTTTCCTACATTTGTTTCGTTTATTATTTTGACTGAATAATTTTGATAAAAAAAGTACTTTTTAATTTTGATGTTTTGGTAGTTTTGTTAAATGAATAAAAGTTTATATGTATGAACTGTTGTTCAGTTAACTTGTATAAACTGCTGACTTTTTTTGATAGAGAAAACTTTGTATTTCGTTTTTCAGATTTTTTGTCCCTGATCTTCCCATTTTTTTAAAGATATATTTATTATATAAATATAATCATTTTTTTAAGGTATTTAAATAAAAATGGTGTAAGTATAATCATATTTATTACTAGCAATTGCAGAAGGTGGTCCAGGATGTGAGTTATCACAAGTTTTCTTCAGAGAAGAATATCGATTAAACTCAGAAATCGGTACATTTTAATGTTTTTTATTTTTTTGAAAATAGTTAACGATAAAGTTATTTAAATTAAACAACTAAATGTAGATTTTATGCTCACAGTTGTTTATAGATTATGCTGGAATAATATCAACTAAAGAGTGGTTGTTAGTTACTTTTTAGATTGTTTCTTCTGTTTTTTTATTTATCTAATTGTATTCAGGTTTAAGGTGGTGAGTTACAGCCATCAAGACACTTTTTGCTAGAGCGTGTTCCAAAGTTGAAAAAAACTGGCTGTGAAATAGAGAATGGAATTATACTCCAAATTCCATTCTCTATCTCTATAAATCTCTCATTTGTCCTTGTATTGACCATTGTTGTCTTATTTAGGCTGGTTCTTCTAATAAGACTTAAAATTGGGTTGTCAATGCTGTTGGATCTGCTCTAATCAGCAAACTTTGGCTTCTGTTCCATTATCATATGGTTGCATGTATATTTTTTTTCTATAAGTATTACCATAATTTCCATTCTATTTTTAGTTTTTCCATTAACCAAAACTCAATCTCAGTTTCATTCAACAATGCTTCATCTTTTTAACATAAATATTCGTTCATGCTGTGAAAACTTTTATTCATCAAACTTTTTTCCTTGAACATCTGAAATTCTCTCCCATCTTCATCTTTATCTTCATTGCAGCCTTGTGAAGTAAATTCATTAAAAAGAGAAAGGGTTGTGTTTAAATATTTTTTTAAATCTTGAAACAAATTTTTTTTTAAACTTTTTTCATACTTTTCTGACTGAACTTCTTAAAATTTTTTATCCTTTTTAAATTTTTTTTATTGTTAATAGTTTGCTAATGGTTTTAGATCACAAAATAGGAAAAGATAAAGAAAATATTATATATCAATAAGTACTGTAAGGACAGTCAAGGGTAAATCAGAAAAAGGCAACCCATTTAATACTCAGATTCAAGGCATGTCTAGAAGAAAAATGAAAATAATGGTCATGAATAAGAAAAAAGCATGTAAAAGTAGTGACAAAGCAAATTAAATAAGTTGGTGACTTAATATAGAAACAATACAATGTAAAAAAGTTAGCATATTTTTGGCATTATAAGCAGAAGGCCAGCTCCTAAATCAAAATTTACAGATGCCCGTAGGCAAAATGTTTGGAGTGGGCAAAGAAATAACATAATTTTATTTTAGTGGCTGGAAATTGACAAGTCAATATTTTTTTTTTTTTTATTTGCATTCACTCCCAACAAGGCTGCAAGCAACCACTATTAAATTGGGAGTTACTAGGAAAAAAAAAGGACAGAGTTATAGAGCAAGGAAACGGTTGACAGAAGACTTGAAAAGTTGAAGGTTGTATGAGTCAGGAAAACATGAAGATGGGAGAGAGTTCCAAAGGATTGAAGTGCTGGGAAAAAAACTAGATGAATAAAAGTTTTTAGAGCATGCAGGGGCAGATACAGTTTTTACTGCCACTGATTTTAACCACTATTATTTTTTACTTTACAAAATCTTTTAGTCTCTAAATATATTGATTTAAAAATTAACATTAATAGAAATGTTAGTAAACACTATCATTATTTCTTTTTTAAATGTACACTTATATTTACATTAGAATATATATATTATTTTGTTAAAAATATATATACTATTTTTGTGTTTATTTATTTGTCTTTCATGGTTTGTCAAACATTAAAAGCAGCAACCTCATCATTTCTAATGTTTCCAATTTTAATCTGTTACTCGTTGTTGAAATATATGTTGGTGACAATTGTGTTTACCAATTTCCTTCCCTATTCCTTATGTTCTATACACATAAAACCTCTATCATTTGCTTGATAAGTTTCAAGTGCCAAGAAGGATGCTCTTTTCATATTATGGAAATACTATAATAATAATTTCATTACAGGGTCAAAAATTATAAACCCATTATAAACATAATTATCTAATGCTTTAGAAGGTTTTGTTAAACCACCAGAGTTTTAAGATATTCTGTAGAGACTTGATTGAAACTTAATAATGTCAGACAGTTAGCACAGTTAGATTTATTTGCAATTTTTTTTTTGTGATGCAACCAGTTACATCAATGTAATTGGAAAAATTTATCGTTGCTAAATTTTTCTAATTTAATAAAAGGTAATTTTTGTCAATTTTTGATATCACATTGCTTGTCCAACAATTGATTTAAATATTTAATATATACTATTTTTTTAGAGTTTTGAACTTCATGTAAACTGACTAAAAATCTTCCATCACTCATTTGTTGTAACATCTTTCTAATGGATCAGTTTGAAAACTGCTACTTATATCTTTCTGAAAATAAATCTCTCTATCAGAATTGATGGAGGGAAATAAAATCCTCTATCAGAAACACTTTTCAGTGTTGTAATTATTGCATTACTTGTTTGACAACAGACAAAGTATATTTACTACATTTTTTAAATTGTGACTTTTTCCAATCATTAATCCATGTGGAAAAATCTTGAAAAAACTGTGGTTTTTTATCACCTAGAACAGCTGCATTACCAATCCTATTATTTGTGTTAAACATTATCTTTGAATTAGAAATAGTCCACCAAATATTAATAAGCTTTAGAAATCTAGCAACTTCAGTTTCATTTGGAAAATAGCTGATGGTTGCAGCATAGATGGTTTCATCAAAAATATGATATCCATGATATTGGATACCCTTTTGTAAATACATCTCATCAATTAAAACAACACAGTCACTAACACTAGCATTTTTTTAAAGTAATAATAATCCTGAAATAAGATCAATGCCACTTTTTGAAAGTGATTTTAAATAAAACAACGAAGGAAGTGGAAATTCTTCTAATAGCAAAGTATATGCCTGTTTTGATGTATATCTGTGCATCAGATAATATCTAATTATTTCATTTGTGTAGATTTGACATCCTTTTGGTTTATAAAGAGATAATTTATATAACTCCGATATTATACTTTTTGATACCTTCTCTGCAACATCATGCATATAAAAAAACAAAATTGACTAGCAAACTAGCGCAGGTCAATTTACAAACACTGCTTTCTCAAAACCATTTAAGTAGTGGAACTAGCATACCTTTCATATGTAGCTTTACACTTAAGTCTTTATCAATTGTAATACTCCCTATGTTATGAGTAACATCAGCTTAATCAAAAAAAAATTCAAATATATAACACACTGTTATCAATTCTTTTAAATGAAAGTCCTTCTGGACAAAAGCTTTCATTAAGATCTATAATGTTTTTAATTGTATCACGTTTTCTGAAATCATCTGTTTTATCTAGCAAGGTTATATAAACAAAGTGCAGGAAACTTACATAGAGCTACGCTTGATTGGATTAGAGATAGCTTTGACAAAATGTTTTAATTGCTAATAATTGTTGGTATACGATTTTCAGAATAGTTCAATGTTTTACTTTTACCTCTTTTTAAATATTTATCTTCAAAATGATTGATACATATTGCTGAGTTTTTTGTGAGGCTCCAATTAGCTTGGTTAACAAACAAATATTTGATGACTATTTCTCATTGAAATTATATTAAAAATACGATGTAGAGATATAATGTTTCACTTGAAATACTCACAAGCAAATTATTTTCATAAAAATAACTACACAACCTCATCAAATTCACAACTTCCCTGCGTGATTTCTGTGCATGACCATATTTGAATTACATTTAAGCAATTGTTGTGACTCTATGAAACATAGTGCAATTCTGGAAATCTTTACCAATAAATAAAGTATTATTTAAAAAAAAAGTATACTGCTAAAACTTTTATTTACTGATGAATTAAAGTTAATTTTTTATCTAGTAACAAAAATTTGCATTTTTTTGTTTCTTGTATGATTCCGCTTCAAACTTAATTTATTCTTTGGTAACATTACTAATGCATTCTTTGTTTACAAAATATTTATATAGATTAGAATTAATGTATATATATATAAATATATATATATATATATATATATATATATATATATATATATATATATATATATATATATATATATATATATATATATATATATATATATACATACACACACATATACATGTAAATATACAGAAAAAAAAACATAATCTTTTCATAGCATTTGTGTCAATAACTGTATAGTGTTAAAATTACAATATTTATTCATGAAGTCTCTGTGTTATAAGTTAACTAATAAAAATAAGGAAACTTACTTTTAAGAGTGATTTTCTTCCTATAAAGAAATAAAAGATTAATTGGAATTTGAAAGCAACTTTTTAAACCGAGTAAATTTTCTACCCCACCATTCATAGTGGTGCAGAAAAATTTTAAAGTTTCTCATAGAACTATTAAACAAAGTAAAACATTATGAAGATAATGAAAAAAAATAATTTGATAATCATTGAATGTTTGAAAAATGGTTCAATTAAATTAAAGCATATAGTAACTTTTCTAATATATTGGCAAGGAATGGGTGTAAATTACTACAAAAAGTATTAAAAATAATAACAGATGTTCTTGATTTTATAGCAAACTAGAAGTTTAACCAGTTTATTATTTATATTTAAGCAGGCTTAGATAATAAAAACAAGACAATTTTAGTTGAATCCATTTCTTAACTTTTTTTTAACTATTTCTTAATTTTTTTAACCATCCGTTTCTAATTTTTTTGCTGCTAAAAAAACTGGAACCATCTAATTCTCTTTAAAAAAATTTCCATCTAGTTCATCCAGTTCTTTTCAAAAAAGTTAAAGCATTACCTGATCCTTAGTACCTGATCTTATTACCTAAATCATTATTACTTGAAAGTCAGAACTTAAGTGTATTTGTTTTAATGTTACCTCACAAAAAAATAAATTTGAAGAATTTAAGGCTGTGATGAATTTGTCCAAAAATTGTTGGAGTATTTGAAATAAGGTTTAGTAATAACTCAATTGCAGGCATTTCTAATTACAATAAAACCTGGTATGATGGAGCAGGAGAATGTAGAGGCGACAGTGTATACGTTATATATTGTATAAAGAAAATTCATTAGATTCATATGAGCATGTTGATGGCAGTTTTAATATTAGTGAAATTGAGCAACTCTACGATATTGAACAAAATAAGTACCTAGATGGTTGTCTCTAAAAAAATTTAGGCTCAACCAGCCTGTTTGTTTTTCTTATTGTTGTACTAATTTTTTTTTTAACATTATAAATATTTTTTTATTGTTATTACTTCGTTTTTTGTTGTTATTGTTGTTGTTACTACTATTACTTTTACAGGAAATCTTAAAACACCATTTGTAGCTCTAATTGATGGAATTACAATGGGTGGGGTAAGCAATTTTTTTTTCAAGTTTTCTTTAGTAAATAGAAAAGTCTAATGAAGTAAAAGCTATAGGAATTTTGTGTCAATCGAAAATAGCATTTTTTAAATTATTTTTTAACATATTTTGGTTATATTTATATTATATATTTTAATAAAATAATAATAAATGTATTTTTATATTATGTATTAAATGTTATAAGTAGGAAAAATATACTCAAATTTTATATTAAAATATGTATAAGAATGTATGTAAATATGTATAAAATGTGTATAAAGAAGTAGCTAAATGTGCAGAAAAATCTTGGTGTGTATTTTTCTTACAGTATATTTGATTATTTTAGAAAAGCCTAATTGTTATTTTGAAAAGTAAGACTGCTCACATGAAAATCTATTATATTCAGATATAAATTTGTACCTTTTTTTAAAAGTTATAATCTGTTACTGTTTGGAACAGATTTTAAATTGTAAGTTAGTATTTAGTGTTGGAAGTAGTACATAATCAATGGAAGTTAAACTCGGTTATTGGGCTATATTTTAAAATAATTATCATTTGCATAAAAGTTTGTATATAGAATATTGTTAAGTAATAAACCTCTGATCTGTTACAACAATTACAATGCAATATTTTATGTTTAAGTAATGAAGACATTCAGGCTATTTCTTACTAACAATCTGCCACAATGGTTTTACAAAAGTTTTAAAAACTTTTAGAAACCAATTAAATCGTAAACATTTTTTAACCTACTCACATATTTACAAACTAATTATTTTTTCTATTATTTTAAAAAGATATTAAAAACAATTTTTTTGTTTATTCAAAAGCAAGAAAGTTTTAACATAATAGGTCAATTAAATTTTTTTAGATAGAAGAAAATAAATTTAATGTTAATAATATTTTAGTATTAATATATTTGTATGAACGAACTAAAATGTACTTGCAACCAATGGAGTATATATGAGCAGCCTTTTTTCTTATAAATTGTTGTTACAACCCTCTCTAAACTCTTTAACTCTAAAAAGCTGTGGTCTTAACAAACAAGACCACAATGCAGAGGAACAAGTTAAGTGTTATACTAAGAGGAATGTGGTGGAAATCAAACTCATACTTCTTGATTACAAAGCCAGCAATCATGACATGAAAACTTATTATCTACAATAATAAGTTTTCATGCCACAACACCATTACTGCATGTTGCTTACTAAAAAATAATTAACAAAAAAAATAAGCTTCATTAACAATACAATGAAGATTAGTTTTTTTAAAATAGATTTATCTACAATAATAAGTTTTCATGTCAGCTTTTGACAAATTATAGAGATGTTAATTTTAACTTTTTAGGGTGTTGGTTTGTCAGTTCACGGAAAGAATCGTGTAGCATCCGAAAATACCTTGTTTGCTATGCCAGAGACTGCTATAGGTTTTTTTAAATTATATTGAAATAAACTCATTTTTTTATATATTTTTTATTAGGCTTAAACTTTCCGATATTTTTAAGTGATTCTTTTTATATTTTTGTATTTTAAGCTAAATTAATTTTAAATTAATCATTTTAAAGGTTTTTTTCCTGATGTTGGAGGTGGCTATTTTTTGCCAAGGTTAAAAGGAAAGCTCGGTTTGTTTTTAGCTCTTACAGGTAAGCAGAATTTATTCATATTTAGTGCTATAAATAGTACTATTAGAAGCTAATTTTAATGATTTTTAAAGGACATCGATTAAAAGGAAGAGATGTTTATTTTGCTGGCATTGCAACTCATTATGTTACTGCTAATCAAGTAAGTTTATTTCCCTAAAAAATTTGTTTTTCTCAAAAATTTTTGAGTTTTTATTGTGAAAATTTGACTTTAATACTTCAATTATAAGAGAATGATTCAATAATTTTTTTTTTTAGTTTCCCAGTTACATAAATGAGAGTTGATATAAAAATTTATTTTTAAAGTTATTTAAATTGGGTTATTTTTGAAATAAAATTTTAGATTCCATATTTAGAAGAAGAAATTTTGAAATTAAATAAACCTGCAGACAGAATACAAGAACTTTTAAATTCATACCATAAAAAGGTACACATTACTGTTGTTTTTTTTTCAAATTATATATGAATGGTCACTAAATGATAAAGCATGGTTTGTATTCTGAATTAAAAAAAACTTATTACTAAGCAAAGTGAGTAGTCTAATATAGTAGTTTTTAACATGTAAAAAACGTTGAAGAAGTTTGTGTCTTTAATTTTAAGGGCCAGTTAAAGAAGTTTGGATCTTTAAGTTTGTGTTTTGAGTTGTGGCATGAAGCTAAAAAAAGATACATATGTTTTTGTAATACATCTAAGTGTACTTTAGTTTACAGTATATACTTATTTATTTGCAAATAATATTTTATTTTATTATTAATCTTTTTAGTGTGATGATTACAATACACATTTCTCGTTAAATCAACATTTAGAAACAATTGATAAGTATATTTTGATCATTTGTTTTCATTTTATATTTTGTTCTTTATGTTTATTAAGTCATATTAGTTAACAGGGTTAGCAATAACCTTTTGAGTATAATTGCCATAAACAAATATATTTGTTTTTTATTAATCAAAGGTAAACATTTAGATTTTAGTTTTTTTAAAGATAGTAATATGCATATTTATTATCATTTTCTGACATTATAAACTGATCAGTATAATTAAGAATTTATTTATACTGATCAGTTTATAATGTCAGAAAATGATAATAAATATGCATTATTAGATTCATTTTTTATAAAAAACAACTTAAAAAAACTTATTATTAAAAATGTTGTGAATATTACCTTTTTTTTCATTTTTCGTTTAAAAACCATAGTTTTTATTCAAAAAAACTTAATATTATTTTTTTTATAAAAAATACTTTTTGTTATTGAAATTTTTAAATGATTTTGCTTCTTTTGAGTACCAAGTTGACATATTTTTAAATAATTTTTTTTTCAATAATATTAGGGACCTGTCAAATGTTTAGGGGCTTTGAGCGACCTTCAGGGCAAATAATAAAATTTAGTAAAAAATATTTTTGAACCACAATATGATAGTTGAATGAGAAAAACTTCAATTAGCTATGTTCTATAAATCTATTAACACATAAACTTTAGATTAAGTGTGCAAAAAATCAATCTTGTTAACTCAAATATCTTAGTATCAAAATTTATTCTAATCGTTCTTTTTAATCCTATTTTAAAGAATTAGCAATGAAACTAAGCAGATCTAATGACTTTTTTAACCAAAACATGCCTTTATGCTTATCTTGATTAACATAATGCAGACTTTAGAAACACTATTGAATGTATAACATGCTATTTTTTGGTTAACATCTGAAATATGCATGCCAAGTATTGAATAATTTCATCAAAAAACTCTTGTTAGGTTATCCCAAAACAAGGTTTTTAAAAGAAGGCTTTTTAAACAAGGCTTTTCCAGAAACATAATTTTAATACTAATGTGCTTTACATAATTTTTAAAATATTAAAACTATCTTCACAAAAAGTGCAGACACTCGTTATCATCTTTGATCTAATAGTAGTTAAAACCTCTCTCAAGATACTGTTCTAACATAAATCCAAGGCCTAATTTAACAGTCGGACATCCGACATTGCCTGGCTAAAACCTCAGATTGTCCAATCAATCTACAAAGTCATCGGACATTTTGTCCGGCAAGATTTTTAATTCTTTAAAATAAAATTTTATTCGTTGATTTGAAATTGACAAATTTAAACTTAATGTAAACTAAATCATTCAAATCATTCTATTTTAGCTTGAGCAGTTTCTCGGTGGCATCCTGGTCCTACTCGAGTTTTCTGATTCTTTATTTATTATTCATTTTTTAAACTATATCTTTATTTGTATTTTTTTTCTTATTATTTATATATATATATATATATATATATATATATATATATATATATATATATATATATATATATATAAGATTAAAAAGTTCTAGCTTTATAAAACTTGTCTGCCAAAGAAGGAGTGCCTTTTTGAAAAGTAGATAAATAATAACCTGTAGAGCTCATAAAATTTTCTTCGTTGAATTGATCAAATTTTAATGACATGCAGCGCGTGGAATTTTTAAATTAAATAATAGCCCGTAAATATTATATTGCGTTTGGTTTAACCGCCTTTAAATAAGTAAAAGCGAAGTTTAAATTTTTTATATCAAGTCTAAAAATAATATGTTTATCTTAATATTTAATATATTAAAGACATTATTATACTATATTACTATAACAAACTTGTTTTCTTGTCGTTTTTATTATTGATAAAAATAGTTACATGAACGCCATATAAATACCTTTTTGGCTCTAAAAGTGGAGCTTATGCGCAAAATTGACACTTAGCATATTATATTTTTTTAAGTAAAAAAATTTATGTAATTTTTATAAACCGGTAATGTAATTCAATGTAAACTCACAAGGTTTTCGAGAGAAAAAAACTCAATAAAACTTCAAGTCTATCTAAAAAAATGCGCAGTATTAATTTTAAACTATTTTATTTAAAATACAAAGATCTACGATGATAAAAATTCTGAATATTAAAAAAAAAACTACAACTTCACTAGCCTAAAATAAAATAAACTGGGAAAACATAACATATATTTCGATTGGATACTTGGGTTCCGTAAAACTCAGATACGTCAGAAGCTAGTCTAAAAAAAATTTGATTGGACAATGTCCGACCAAAATAACTTTTGGTCAGACATTTTGTCCGGGACCTTATAAAAAATTAAATTAAGCCCTGTATATCTATAAAATATTAAAACAATAAAAGTTGGAGCTAACTTCTTTATGAATTAAAAGCTCTCAATTCATTTTCTACATTTAAAATTAGTTTATTTTACTTCTTATTAAAAAAAATACAGATAATATTTCTTTCTTCTATCTTACAGACATTATTGTTATTATATTTAAATTTTTATATTCTATTATAAATTATTTTATTGTTGTATTATTGTTATAGTTGTTATTATTTTTATTATTATTATTCTTGTTTTTGTTGTTGTTGTTATTATTGTTATTATTATTATTGCTATTATTATTGTTGTTATTATCATTTTCATCTATGTTCATTTAATATTAGTACTTTTACTAAAGGTCCTTGAGAAATTACAACCTTGTTTCAGAATATATTTGACTTGATTTGATAAATATTTGAAAACTTATTCTGTAACCTTAGGGGTTCCCCAAGGTTCAATCCTTGGCTCTATACTCTTTTTAATTTACATTAACGATCTTCCAGATATTCATCTAAGGTACACATCTAAGATACACATCTAAGGTGGCATTGTTCGCTAATGATGATGACTACCATTTATTCTTGTCACGATAAGAAGCCAATTCCCTCTGATTGCTTGCAGGGGACATCTGAGCTTGAAAAGGATCTCACTTCTGCTGCAGCATGGGGCTCACAGTGGCTGGTGAACTTTAATTCAGATAAAACTCAATTTTTTTCAGCCAATCGTTATCGCAATTATTTAGACCTTCCTATATTTATGGTAATGTACTCGATGAGTCTCCTACCCTTCATCTTCTAGGATTAACTCTTACTTCTGATCTTTCTTGGAAACCTTATATCAAATCCGTTGCAAAATTAGCATTTGCTAAAGTTGTTTCTCTTTATCGAGCTTGTCACTTCCTTACTCTGGATTCTATTCTCTATCTCTATAAATCTCAAATCCGGCCTTGTATGGAATACTGTTGCCATATCTGGGGCGGATCTTCTAATGATGCCCTTTCTCTTTTAGACAAGGTGCAAAAACGTGTTGTAAACATAGTTAGATCTGCTCTTGCAACCAACCTTCAACCTCTGTCACATCATCGTAATGTTGCTTCTCTTTCTCTTTTTTACAAATACTATAATGGACACTGCTCTAAAGAGCTTGCGTCTCTTGTGCCATCTACTAAAATTCATTCTCGTGTTACTCGTCATTCAATTAAGTCTCATCCTTTTTCTGTTACTGTTCCTAAGTGCTTCAAAAACTCTTATTTGTCTAGTTTTTTTCCTTGAACATCAGTTCTTTGGAATTCGCTTCCTTCGTCTTGCTTCCCTGGTTCATATAATTTGCAATCTTTTAAGTCGTCTGTCAATCGTTATCTTGCTCTACAATCTTCATATTTTCTCTTCCAGTAACTTCCAATACTAATTAGTGGTTGCTTGCAGCCTTGTTGGAAGCGAAGATAATTAAAAAAAAAAAAACTACAGTCTTGTTTATCAAGTCTCCATATAGTTTTTCTGATATCATATTTATCGCTGAGTCATAAATTTGAACTAACAATAACAACATTGTTGTTATTGTTAATTCAAATTTATGAAATTAAAATTATAGTTACTCTTAAACTTACTTAGTTACTTCCAATAACTCGAAGTTACCAAATGTTTACTTCCAATAAACTTAGTTACTTCCAATAACTGGAAGGTACCAAATGTTTACTTCCAATAAACTTACTTAGTTACTTCCAATAACTGGAAGTTACCAAATGTTTACTTCCAATAAACTTACTTAGTTACTTCCAATAACTGGAAATTACCAAATGTTTGGTTTACAATTTAAAAAGAAATTAAATATTAAATCATTTTTTCACAGAAATTCTATAACTATTTAATTTGCGTGAGTTTTTAAATGTTGACAGATCATCTAAAAAAAAAATTTAATTTTTTATTTTTGATTACATTATTTTTTTTTAATTTTTGATTTTAAGTGAGTACTTTATTAATAATACTATAACAATAATAGTAAATAATAATAACAATAATAGAATCTTTGATCTAATCGATGTTCTTCTTTAGTTACATAAGTTATTAGGGTGCATCAAAAACTTTCTCTACTTTCGAAAAAAGATCTGACACTATTCTTAAAACTTTTTATTGGTTCTCACAAGTAACTCAGTTAAAATTTTCAAAAGTGTAATATTGTTTAGGAGGGTTACCTTATGTCTGAATTTTGCTACATGACATGATTTTGCAAATGCCAGAAAAAAAGTTATGTCATGGTGTGTCTCAAAAAAAAGTTATGTCATGGTGTGTCTCAAAAGAACCAAAATTATATAAAAATTTTAAAATAAAGTTTTTTTTGTAAAATAACTCTTTAAGGGTTTAATAATTGTTTAAGGGTTTTGCATAAAAAATGATATTTTTTAACCAAAAATGTAAAAAGTGCATTTTTACCAGAGTTTTTGATTATAATTTCTCTGTTTTATTTGTACAGTGAAATCCTGATATCTTGAACCCCAGATAACTTGAACTTCCAGTAACTTGAACTACTTTCCAGTTCCCCTTGAATCCTCACTAATACTTTCACATAAATATAGCTCGATAACTCGAACACCCATTAACTTGAACATTCGCTATATCGAACCATTTTATCTATTCCCGTGGATAATATATTTTTCCGATAACTCGAACTTTAGAGCAAAAATATGAAAAAAAACCTGCAATGAAGCCCTTGCATTGCAATGTTAATTACAATAATAGTTTGATTAAGTTTATAGTTTACGTTATACTAACGTGCATTGTAATATATAATAAAATTTGTTGTGCTTACATTTTATTATCGCTACTGTTGCTGTAAAGAAAAAAAATGAATACAAAATCCGTTAAAGAAAAGTACGCTGCTTTAAAGGAAATTGGAGAGAATTGTCAAAGTCTCAGGTTGCTATGAAATATGGCATTCCAAAAAATATGCTGTCGATATGGATCAAAAGTGAAGAAAAATTTTTCTAATGTATAAAGACGCAAGGGAACAAGTCAAAAAGTATGGCAATTAAAGAAGGAACATTTTCAAATTTAGATAATCTTCTTTTTAAATGGCTTTTAAATGTAAGGAGCAGAAGCGTGGCAGTATCAGCAACAATTATTAAAACAAAAGCCAGAAAACTTGCTAAAAAAATTAATATAAATGGATTTTAAGCGTCTGATAGTTGGCTTGATTGTTGGAAAAACAGGTATAATGTTTCTTTCAAGACGGTATATGGAGAGGGTAACTCTTGTACAGCTGAAATGACCACGCCATGAAAGGAAACAACTCTCCCCACAATTTTATCCAGGTATAAACTTGATGAAATTTACAATGCAGATGAATTTGGATTGTTTTTTTGTATGCAACCTATAATGTCACTAAATCTTCAATCTGAGACATGTATAAGGGGAAAGCACAGTAAAATTCCTCTTACAGTAATGGTCGCAGCAAGTGCAGCGGGTGATAAAATTCCTATGTTTGTAATAGGAAAATCAAAATCACCTCGCTGCTTTAATTGAATTAAGCACTTACCTTGCATATATAGTAATCAAAATAAAAGCTGAATGAATTGTGTATTGTTTAAAGAGTGGATACCAGAAATGGATACAAAGTTTACAAAAGAAAAGAAGAAAGTAGCGTTCATAATAGATAACTGCCCAGCACACCCGACGGTTGATAATCTAAAATCTATTGAGTTCATTTTTTTACCACCGAATACCACATCTTTCCGAAGATCAGCAGAAATCTGCATATTTGGATGAAGACATCAATCCCTTTAAAGAGGTTCAAAATCAGATAGAAAAACTTGATAATTTTTACCATCCAGGTTCAACAGCTGAAGATGTTATTTTTGCAGATAAAAACTTAATTACCACAGAATTTTTACTATACAGATGAACAGTTGATAAAAGAAGTTAATAATGCAGCGAATGAACATGATGCTAATGACGAGGGAGATACTGTTGATGATAATGCAATCAATCTGTTTGCCCAAAAGTTAGTTATATTCAAGAGGCACTGCAAGTGTTGTATGACCTTTTTTGTGTGCCCTTTGTGACCCTTAATTGTATGCCCTTAATTGTGTGACCTTTAATTGTATGCCCTTCGATTATACTCGATAGAGAGGAATCTTTTAAAACAAAACAGAGTGACCTTAGAACGTTTTTCAATTTAAAATGTATTATTTTTACTTTTGTGATCAAAACTTTTAATAACTTTTTTAATAATTGTTTTTACTTATCTGCCAAAGTTCGTGTTATAGAATGTCCTGATAACTCAAACTATTTTCTAGGTCTCTTAGAGGTTGGAGATATTGGGAGTTCACTGTATTTCTATATATATAATTATGATTTTTTTTGAATTTTTTGTATAATTTTGCTTCTTTTGAGATTCATCATGATATACTTTCAAAGAGCTTTTTTTGGCATTTAGGGTCACGCTGCAACCTCCAGACTTGAGGGAGCCACTCTAAACCCAATTGCATTTAGAAAAAAAATTTTAAGAATAGTGTCAGATTTTTTTTGGAAAGTATATGGTTTTAACCCACCTTACAAATTATCTTCATTTTCAGTGACATACCTTAGACATTTTTTTTATTTATTACTTTTTCTGCTTTTGATGAAGAATCTGTGTGTCTATTGCTTTGTGTTGCTTTCTATCTTGCTGATTGTTTCTGTTTGCTTTTTAAGAATTATTTTTTTCTAGTACATTCTCAGCCCCCACATTAGAGGAAATATTTTTACGTTTACAAGAAAATAAGTCCGACTGGTCTAAAAAACAATTCGAGGTATGTTTTGTTTCAGCATTTTTGTCAAATGAATGTAATAAAGTTGTAATAAAGTTTTGAATAAAGTTTTAGTTTTTTTATATGCAAAACCTTGCTAAATGTTTTATGAGATTATCTAATACCTGTGTGAGTTTATCTTCTACCTTTATGGTTTTATCTTCCACCTGTATGAGTTTATTTTCTACCTGCATGAGTTTATCTATTATATATGTGAGTTTGTAAAGTATATTAGTTATTAAGTAGTATTTATTTTAGTCTAATTTATATAGCTAATAGTTATTTCTCTCTCTTTTTTTTTTTTTTAATTTAAATAAGTCATCAGTACGGTAGACTGAGGTAACATTGACAGTGTCAATGTTGTCAATTTGACACAACTTTGTAGAATTTATTAGTTTATTTGCTGTGAATAAAAAAATATATATTCAATATTTCTTGGTGTTTACTAATGTTATTGCTGTCTTAAACTGATAAAGAATGTATTTAATAAGTAATATTATTGGTTGATAAGTATTTTTGTCGTTTGAGTGCAGCTGACAGTGTTATCTCCTATATAGGGTAATGTCGACAGAAGTATGCTTTATGCTGTAAATGTTAGTTGCGTTATTTAGGGTAACATCATTGCAATTATGACAAACAAAATAGAGAAAACATTTTAAATATTTATTAGCACCAACTTATTTTGTTTTAAAAAATAACAGTATAAAAAAATTGTACAACAGTTCTAAAAGTGTAACAAAATGTTCTTATTTAAAAGATATCAATAAGTTTCAAATCTAACTTTGTTTACTTAAGATGGATTCCACCATCCACCCCAAAAGATAACAGTTGCAATGTGCATTGCCCAGATTGACATTGCTCCAGGTGCTGTATATGTGGATAACTTTTAAACAATGTATAGTGATAAAAAGTGACCAGTTATCTAACAACATACCTGCACTTTAAACATGATTTTAGTTAAAGTATCAACTATTTTATGTTGGTACATTAATTTGCGTTTGCGGTAAATTTATTGCTAGCCTATGTTGGTTCGAAATTCCGTTTCATTCTTGTTTTATATGATAGTTTCTCAAAAAATATATTAACTATGTTTACATTGCATTCATAAGCATGATTAGTAAAAAGAGGCTATATATCCGACATTTAAGTTTGTTTTTTCATCTTTCAACCAATGCATGCATCCAATCAATGGCAGGCTTTAACCAAGCCATTCATCCAATCAATGCCAGGCTTACTATCCTTAAAAGTATAAGCTATTACTTGGGTACAGTTAAGTGCTCTATTTCTTGATACGCAATCCTGGTGTTTTACTGTTAAGCTGAATGTTTTGCAGGAGTCGTGACCAAAATGAACGACTAAGTCTAAAACAATAAAAATATTGTTTTAAATATTCTATAGAAGTTACTTTAAATTCTTTTTTAAATTGAATAAAATTCACTGCAATAACTAACGTTGTATTAAGTAAACATTATTATACATAGCAAACAAAAAAATAAAAAAAAATATCGGTTACTTAGTGTTTGACAGAGCTGATTTTTCATTAGAGGACAACTTAATAAACTTCTGATCTCCTTTGGATCTTTTATTTGTGTTGTCTTTTATCTTTAAGATATCAAGATGGAGTTTGGTCAACTCTACTTTCTTGATGTCTTGCAGACTCGTTCTTGGTATATTTTACTATTTCCTCCTCCTCTTCAACTGTAAAAATACTACAATAGCGGCATTCATGTTATCTAATTTAGTTAATTTAGATATCAAAATTAATTAATCAGCATTCTTCAAAAAAGTGATTACTTACCATTTTTTTATTTCTCGTTTTATTTGATTGATCACTTCTCTTTCTTTGACTATTAGATGCAATCCAGGCTTATATGCCTTATAGCCTTGCACACTGGTTTATGCAATCTTCTATTTGCAAGTTTTTGCATCTGTTCACTTTCTCCCCATTTTTCCCTCTGGCTTGCTTTTTGCGTGTAGTTTTTTGTGTGTGCGTGTGGTTTTAGCGGTATGTATAACTATAATAAAAATTTCTATTTATAAAAAATCATGGTAATAAAAAATTTGTTTTCTATTAACACTTTTTAGAATAGAATAGTGCTGTACACTCAATCAAGAGTGATGATACTACGTATTGACAAAATATATTGCAACAACACAGTGATAATTTGCATATTGACATTTTGCAATTGCCTACTGAGCTACAACCCTAACAAGACCTTACATGTGTACTAAATAACCTTGTTTTTAGAACTTAAAAGTAGTTATATCAGTAGATAAGAAGCTGAAATAAACATTTCAAAACACCTAATTTAAATACAACAATTAAAATAATGTTTTAACATTGACAATATGAGTATTAAATGAAACGCATAATGAATATTTAGGTTTGTTATTATTATTTTTTTAATATGTTTATTCAAAAAATAAGTGTATTGCCAATTATTCATTTTAAAATGAAATTTTTCTTTAGGTTCTTAAAAAGTTGGTAAGTTTAACTATGTTTAGTACTTTGATTTATTCAAAAAAAAATTCTTTTATAAAGTCCGTTTAGTATTTATAGAATCTGTTTTATAAAATATTTAAAAGTTTATTTATGTTGTTTTTATAGAGTCCGTTATCTTTAAAAGTCACAATGAAACAAATTGAAAAAGGAGCAGTGTTGAGTTTAAATGATGTTCTTAAAATGGAGTATCGTATTTCTCAAAGATTTATGGTTTGTTTTTTATAATTTTTGCACTTTTTAAAATTTAGTTTCTTAGTTAATAACTGATTGTTCAAATGTTTTTTTTTTTTTTTTTTGTCACAAAATTGTTTTGTTTTATGATATACAGGTGTTAATTATATACTTATCCAGTTACCACAACCATGCGATAATTTTTTTTTTTTGGGGGGGGCGGGTAATGAGGAATAAATTAAAGTCTTCAACGAATGTTTATTTTCTTATTTATATAGTATTACTAGGGCTATATAGTATTATTTATATAGTATTATTAGGGCTGTCGAAAAATCCCTGCCCGGGTACTCGTCAAACAAACGAGCAGGTACCCGAAAAAAAAAAATTTAAACGGGTTTTAAAAGTTGTTCTTATAAAAATTCGATAAAAACTTTTAATTCAATGGTGTCATTTATTTAGAGATGTTCTTTTTCACTTATATTTAAACTTCATTTTACTTTGAGTGTCTAGGTTACACCAGTCCCAAATACGGTCTTAACACGAAATTCTTACGTGTCCACTATTTCGGGTGCCAAAGAGGTACGCCGTTGATTGAGTATATGCCCAAGAGTTAAAAAAGCCTGTTCTGATGACACTGAATTGGCATGTTCTTGCGTGCTAAGTTAGCATAATTATATCTTTCATCTTCTAGGTTTTAAAAATTTTTTGTCCACATGAAAAATCAATAAGCAAGTTGAATAAGTGTTTTATGTAAAAGAAACATTTTACTCAGAAGTAATAATAGTAATCAATATGTAGTTGAATCAGATACTCAACTAACTTTCCGAACGTTGTATTGAACGTTATATCGAGTGTTTTTAGAAATTCTGACGCTGATAAAGTAATCGTAACCATTGAAATTTTTAACAAAATCTTCAAGATCTTTTTTTACACACCAAATTATTATTGCTTAATTGTCATATTACGAATTATTCTTTTAAAACTTAAAAATAAGTAAAAAAATAATTTTAAACTTATTAAGTAACGGTTACCCGTCATTTGGTTATGGTACCCGAGCAGTAACCAACAGGTAAGTACCCGGGTGCCCGGATAGCCGTCGACAGCTTTAAGTATTAGTCATCTAAATGTTTGCCTGATTGTTGTTACTTTAATGTGTATATTATTTCTAGGAAGGACGCGACTTCTTTGAGGGAATTCGCTCTGTGCTGGTAGATCGTGATAATTCTCCAAAATGGCAGCACAAGTCTTTAGATGAAGTTTCAGAAGATTTAGTTTCCTCCTTTTTTACTTCATTGCCGTTCGGCAGAGAACTTACAATTTAGTCCTTGGTTTAAAAAAAAAAACGAAATTTTTTCTGTATTTAGTAGCAAATAAGAGTACTTGATAACATAACAATATTTAATATAGTTTTTTCGATCACAAGCGCTATTTGTATTTTTCAACGCGTTCAATCTAACCTACGTCTAACTTTCTCAAATCGCCGTCAATTTTGTTTATTTACCAACAACTTTTGCTTTTACATATCTATTTGCAAAAGAAAAAAGGAGATTAGTCAAAAAATGGTGAAAATGAGTTATACACGGCATTCGAATAATAATATTATTAAGTATCATAGGAAAAAGTTTAAATTTTAAATATTCCCTCAAAAATTGAGCACCTCAAAAAAATTGCAATTTCTGTTGTTAAGTGACATTCCATGACTCGTCTTCCTTTTCCTTTTTCACACAGATATTTACATTGCAATAAAATACGTCTAATTGTTTAGCTTTTATTTTCATTTATTATTATCTAAATTTATTTTCTTTATTTTTTATTTATTCAAATTTAGCTTTTATTCATTTTGATACGTATTTCGACTCTTATTTTTATTATAGTAATATAATTTTTATTTGGCTAAATAACTTACCTTCGCACTTGATTGTTGAAAATGGGCTTTGCGATACCCTTAGAACAAATGACATCCAATAATGAATTAGTGGGCTGAAGCCCCAGAAAAAGCTAAGTGATAAAACCATTTGCAAAAAACGTTTGTTCGCTTTCTGGGCTTTTTTACATTTTGCAAAATTGAACCTTGCTTGTTTAATTATGTCAAACCTCAGAAAATCCAACAAAAAACCATCTCAGCTTTTAAAAATCTATAATTATAAATACTACTTTTAGCAGAATCTACATGCTTACAAAGGTTTATTACAATTGAGAAGAAAGTATAGCATATAGCAATAACAATATTTTAGAAATTCAGCTATAAAAAAGTTTTTTGTGATATTTTATTTTTTCTTCAAACTTATTAGTATACTAATAAGTTAAAAGAAAAAATAAAATAGAATGAAAAATTTTCTTTTAATAGAATGAAAAATTTTGAATCATAGTAATTAGTAATAGTTTTAGAGAATAATATTATTTAATATATTATTTAAATAAATATTTGCCTTTACAACATTTTTTAAAGATGTATTATGCGTAATAAAATTTAAACGCCTTTGAATGGCTATGGGCTTCTGACATGAAAGTCTTTGAAGCAAAAGTTTGCAAGCTTAAACTTTCAACGCCAAAATATTTTATTTACTAATATAATTTCACTTCACTTTGTTTAAACCCGTTCCTTTTTAAGTGCTCACCTTTATTTATACCCATTCCTTTCTTAAATTGTTCAAAAAGAGCTGCTTGATTCTCAAAGAAATTATGACGAATATTATTATTAAGGACAGTTTCGATTTTTTTATTATGGCTACGCGTTGGTACTCGACTTGTCGAATTGAAATAAAAATATTCTTTATTATGTCAATCGATATATTCAATTTTTTTATCCAACTCAATCATTTTATTTACACCATCACTCTCTCGTTTGTTTTTTTGTCTTGTCAAATTCAAGCCAATCAATCAACTTGTCAAATTCAAAGCAATCAATCTTTCATTATAAGCAAGATTTTTAATTGTTGGTGAAGCCCTCGTTGTACAATGTAGGACGCGTTCTAAAGCTTTTGTATAAAACAACACGACAAATTGTATTTATTTCTTTTCCTTCAAATTTATTCGTAAATTAAATCAAGCAAAATGTTAATGCTCTAAGAAATAAAAATATTAGCATAAAACTTTGTTTTACATAATTTCTTTGCGCTCTTTTTGAATCTTTAGAATTCTTTAACTTATTCAAAGCCTTATATATATATATATATATATATATATATATATATATATATATATATATATATATATATATATATATATATATATATAACTTTTTTTTTTTACCATTATAATTCTTTACAATAAAATATAATGTACATAAAAGTTTAATGGAAGGACTTCTAGAAGATCATATGTACAATTTATAGTTTCAATAATATTTAAATAATATAAACTTATAATTTTCGTAGTCAAGTTATATGGATTACCGTAAAAATAACAAAATTAAAATAAAACTGAAAAATATATAATCGCTAGAAGTAAATAAAAATGTTTTGTAGAGAAAAAATAATTTCTTTTAATATCTGTTTGAAATAATTATAAGTCAAATTAATAGAAAAATCTATATTAGGTATAACTAATTTGTTCGATAGATATGGATCAGGATAAGAAATACAAAATTGAGTATACTTATTCCGACAAAAAAGGGCATTAAGATAATTATCAGTACGTAAATCATACTTATTTTTGGGTTTTATTACACAAAGGTTTTTGAATACACGAGGAGATAAGTTTTTTTTACATTTAAACATAAAGCATAAAATGTTATAAAGTTTAGTTTGTAAATTTAATTTAAAGACTTAATAAAATTAATTTAAGACTTTCATTTCCTGAAGTGGTTTAGATGGCGTAAAACGGTTTTTAAAATTTATTGCGCGAGCTGCGTGTTTCTGATGATGATAAAGAGATTTAAGTTTTATTTTATTATTGCTACCCCATACTGTATTTGCATAATTGATGTGGCAATTAATAAAGGAATAGTATAGCTGAGTTAGTTGCTGTTTGTTTAATATGCCTCTAGCTTTATATATAATGCCAATAGATTTTGCAACTTTTGAGGAGGTACTGTCAATATGATTTTTTCAAGATAGATTTTCATCAATATACACTCCTAAAAACTTTACAACTTTTTCTCTTTTAATAACGATATTGTCAATAAAAAGGTCAGGCATTAGAGTTGGCAATCTTATTTTTTTTGAGCGTGGATGGAAAAGTGTCCATTTAGTTTTGTCAATGTTTAGAAACTTTTTTAAGCTCGTTTGTCATGTTATTGAAAAATATATTTGTATTTTCATGAGATAAAAACAAGTTTGTGTCATCAGCAAAGATTATTGATGTTAAGTTTGAGGTTTTATTAAGATCATTAATGTATATTAAAAAGAGAAGTGATCCAAGTATGGATCCTTGCAGAACACCTAAGGATTTGTGATTAACAAAACATATCATTAAAAGATCAAATTTTAAGCTACATTTTGTTGAAACAATACTACTATGTTTTCCGCCAAAAAAAAAAATGAATACATTGTTTTTTCAATTTTGTTAACTCAAACCTTTGAACAATAAAAATTAAAATTTTTTAAATTTAAGTTACAGAAAAATATTTAGTATTGTTAATATATTAAAATTTTTTACTATTTTTTGTTTTTATTCAAGAAGCAATTAAAAACCACTGCTATTTTAGGACTTTAAACTAAGCAATTTCAATAAAAAGCACTGGGTAATTTGAGTCATATTACACAAAAATGGTATCTTTAAATAAGTCAAAAATAAATGTTTCTATGCATTATTTTTCAAACAAAAATGAATTAGATTTTTAGCTAATATATTTTTCTTTATGAAAAAATTAATTTCATTATTTTAGCACCAAAATATCGCGCCACAGAATTATTCACGCGTGATGATTTTTTTTAACAAAGCAAAAAATTTAAAAGCGTTTTAATTAGATGATATCCGCTAATTACTGCGTATAAATTTACGCTAATTGTACTGATTCCTGTTATCGCCACATAAAGTCGATTCGAAAAACATAAAGCAACTTTAACTTCACTGCTTACATCTAATAAATCTTTAAGTATGCTCATATTACCAAGGTGCTCATATTACCCTAATCTACCCTACATTATCCTCTCGATAATTTTTGAGAAAAATGGAAGAATTGAAATAGGGCGAAATAGTTATTTATATTAATATAATCGCCGGTTTTGAAATTAGGAATTATCTTTGCTTTTTTTAGATGACCTGGAAAAGATCATTGAATTATAGATGCTCTAAATATTTTATAAAGAATGTTTTTGATAATGTCGTAAGAGTCGATTATAATATTTCCATTAATGCCATCATATCCTGTTGCCTTATTTATTTTTAATGATTTAAAAGCATCATCAAATTTGTTATAGGTTAACTTAGTATAATGTTTGAATTACTGAGATTTTGTGCATCATTGACGTGTTTATCGTTTATATTTGGAATACTGTTAGATAATTTTGTTCCTATAGTTGTAAAACGTTTATTCTATTCGATTGCAATATCATTTGATTCGGTTAATATAGTTTTTCCAATTTTCAATGTTTGTGGTAGCGAAGTAGCATTATTTTTTATTTTCCCTGTGATTTTTTTTATTATTTTCCATACGCGCTTTGAATCATGCTTGTATTTGTTAAACAAGTCAGAGTAGTATTTTTTTTTTGTGGCGTTTTTACGAAGTTTTTCAAATAGGTTTTGTAGATTTGGTAATTTATATTGTGTTTTTTGGATTTAGATTTTAAGTACATAACGTATAGTTTTGCTTGATTTTTGAAGATTTTTTAAGACCTTTAGAAATCCAAGGAGATAATATGTCTTTTGTTCTTAGAATTATTTCACAAAAGGGAAAATTTACATCATAGACTTCATAGAACGTTTTTAAAAAGGTACTGTATATAATGTTTATATCTGAATCAAAATTCCCAGCCAACATTGACATACGGGTACCGTACGGGGCCCAAACGGGTCGTCAACTGGGTCCCGTATAGGAAGACCAACGGTATCCCGCCGGATTATGGCCGCGGTTTCCATATGGGTTAGCCCGCTGGGTATCCCGTATGAGTCCCAGTCAAATCTCGTACTTTAAAATCGTAAGAGACCCATATGGGTTTTCAAATGGGACTCATATAGGAAACCCATCGGAAACCCGCCGGATCTTGGCCGCGGTTTTCTTCTGGGGCCCATTTGGATATGCCCGCCGGGTATCCTGTGAGGGTCCCACGAGGTTTACCCAATGCAAATCTTGCAAAACTACTTTTAAATGTTTAAAATATACAGAAAAAGCAAGTTTATATGTAAACTGATTGGTTTATTTCAAAAAAATAGTAATTAAAATTACACAGTCGAAATTAAGCAAACTTTTAAACGATTCTTTAATCATGTATCGAATGCTTTCACGGTTATCTCGGGAACTGGAAGCTTTTCCACTGTTG